TATCTCTGAACTTATACCACAACGGCACTGTCATGATCCAAGGCTCGGAGCCTGCCCTCCAAGCATTTACAGTTGCCTTTTTACAAATTAACCAGCAGGCACATCTTAATACAAGTTTCATACAGGATCATAAAGATATAAATACAAACTCTTCTCCTGTAAAAGACATCCAAAAGAAGACAACAACTGCAACAGCCTTAATTCAATCTCCCATGTCAAAAATGAAAGAGAAATTTTCACTCCTGGAAATAGATATGGTGGAACTAAAATAATTAATAATGTCCCAGCTAAAAGACAACAGCGACTTGGAGCAGCTTAAAAAGGACATGATAAATTTAAAACAAGAGACTGAATACCCGCAGAGAAACAAAGAACAGATGTCAAAGGAGCTTCACCAAGCTAGAGAAGAGCTGAAGGAATTCAAATCAACTTTCAGAAGACAGATAACAGAAATTAAAACAGAAATGCAGGAAGAACTGTTTGTGTTGAAATCAGAACTTCGAAAGAAGGATGAACTTATAAATAATATGAAGGAACAACTTCTTCACGTTTCATCATCCAAAGCATCTCACGCTAAACACCTGACCTGTCTAGAGACCCCTACTGACAATCAGCAATCATCTGCAGAGGATGAGCCTCGCTCTTCATCAGATCCACAGACCAAAGCCCACCGCACTGCTCCACACAACCCCACCCAAACAGAAGCTCTGATTCTCATCGACTCCAACGGAAAATATATAAATGAGAAACTTGTTTCCAAAAATGAAAGCACAGAAAATGTGGTGCCCAAATACCAGCAAGGCTCTTCAGATCTTATCTGATAAAAATCTGAAAAAAACTTACAAGCACATCATAATCCACACAGGGACCAACGACTTACGAGCAGCGAAGGGCAACATGGCTTCTGTGCTCAGAGAGGTGGCCCTCAGAGCCTCAGAACGCTTCCCAGAAGCTAAAATAACTCGGTCCACGTTACTGCCACTGAGTGATGTGCCTCTTCACGTGATCCATGGAAACAATGCAGAACTCTCCAGAAGCTGTGCACTCATTCCAAATGTTCACCTGGCTTACCATAAAGACATTCGGCCCCATCATATGTATGACTACATACACCTCAACAAGAAAGGAGTACAACTTTTCGCAAGAGTGCTGAAAAGCACAGCATTTGGTAAAACAGGAGACAGAAATCTACACAGCAAGAGCAGCTCCCAGCCACAAAGAAATGTCCCCCCTCCTTCAAGAAGCAGACAGGACTCGACCCCTGGAGCACCATCACAGAGCTATGCCGCAGCAGTCCAACAGTCACAAAACCCTGCAGCCACAGAACTCAATCATATAAGACACCTGCTCAACATCATCTGCTCCAAACTGGTCAAATAATGTACAAGAGCAATACCTACACACACACACAC